ACAATTTTTTAGTAACTAAATACATTCATTTGAGCAGGGAAGCTGCAATTAATATGTCCACTCCAGCGTGGAGAGAGCGTGCACATCTTGTTGTTGCCGTTAACTGTACGTGAGTGAGGTCACCTCTTCACCTCTGGTGGCGAAAAGGTTAATTCAATAAAGTATTGAAACACATATAATATCTACATATGTATATTTGTGATGGGCACCTTACACTGAAGCTGGAAACTAGTCAAAAAATTATTAGATTGATACGGTTAGGGCCGTCACACGGCACCTACCCTTAAGATCCCACCTTTACAAAGTTAGACGTGTGGAATGCTGAGCATACGGTAACATGATGAGACACTGAAGCATTAGGTTCTTGTTGACTATTCTTGTGACTATCGTGGGTCCTTAGATCCGACTATTGTGGGAATAGATTGTATTATTCAGTATTTGCGAATATCCAGTCTACAGACGGATGAGACAGGATATATTTCATGGCTCCTAATGCTCTAACTTATGAAAGGTTGGGGTGGCAAATATTAGCTATTTTACCTAATCCACCGACTTTTTCGATAAATTTTAATTTGATTGCCACCGGAGCATAATGCGTCTAGTTATAAAGCAAGTTCTGCCGTCTGCAGTATCGCACTACTGCGACTCCCTTTGGCACAAACCTATTATCTCCGAAAAATGATCTTTTTATATGGACTATTTGGCACGAAGTGTCTAACACCCCGAAGAAAATGTCAGAGACCCTACAAAACATTGGCATATATCAATGGTCAACATGATAAGAAGAGTCGTTTAAGCTGTCCGCTTGATTGCATATACGCCAACTAGTCTCTCAGTTTCTTAAACACTTATCTGCAGGTCCTTTTCTTCCCAAGATGTTGTTCATTTGTCGAACTACCGATATCGGTTAATTACAGCAAATAGCTGCCATGCAAACTGACTTTTTATTTTCCTTCACAGAAATTCCTTAGATTGGTTTACTTTAGCACATTGCTATCATGTAGCTGATGAAAATCAAAATCAATATAAATATCTGTTTTTAAAGATTATGCTACAAGAATTGCACTTGTGAAGGGTACTAAAGTTTCGGTGTAGCCGAAGTAAAGGTCTTTTCTTGTTTTGATATTGTTTTCTGTACAATCAACATTGATTACCGTCCATATTTATTAACTATAGTAATTGTGAGCAGAATTATAACAATATTTCGCATGCGTCAGAAGACATGTTAGCGCATGGTTGTACCCCAAGTACTGCCTGTTGAACTTCTGGTATAGCTTGTTCGATTCGCTACTCTGTAATGCTTGGCAAATTGAAATTGAAAATTGATGGCAATCAACAAAATGGTACCAGTTAAATTTAAGATCTCTGGATATGAACCCAAAACTAAACAACATTATAGTATGAAACACATTTTGTCGGGTTTTGTTGTTGCGGTCGAAGTATTTTTCCTTCATAACTGGATATTTGCATTTGCTTCGTAAAAATATTAAAAAAGAAGGAGAAAAAATCGTAGAAAAGGATTTCAAAATATTCAGTTGATATGTAGTACTCCTTACAGTAGAAAAATAAATATTTCTGTTGATGCTTCAAAAAAAAAAAAAAAAAATGTTTCGAAGTTACGTTGCTAGTAATTGGCACGAGAAACGTTTTAGACTAGAATACTCCCATCCAGTCTAGAGGCATGAATTTCAGGTAATTTTTAAAGTGTCAGAAAAATGTAAAATATTTTTGCTAAACATTTTTCTATTAGTTATTTATTAACATTACTAGAATATAGAAAGAAAAACCAAAACAAAAAGTTAAAAAAATGTCCAGCTAATAAAGTGGGAATAACAATAAATTGTCCCGTGGCCATTCCCCCGACTTCTATCCTCCTATAAATCGGAAACCAAAAAGAAAAATTATTATTCTAGAAAAAATGCCAATGTGCGGTCAAATTTAAATTTGGAGGTATTTCAGACATAGAGAAGGTCTATAACGAGGACTCTAAAAAAATTCAAGTAAAAAAAAAAAAGAAAAAATCATAAGGCCTGATAGAATTTTCCATAAATTTTTTCACTAAACTTTTTGTTTTAAATCGTATTTGGGATATTTCTTTACATTTATAGCTTTTAATTTACATTGTGACAAAAACGAAATTGTAATTTAAATTCCCCAGGTTAATAATATTTCGATAACACATATATTTTGCTAAGTAAGGAAGACTGTTCTTAATTACCATGCCGATGCGCAAACTGTCAATCAGTTTGTTTATATAATATCAATTCCTTAAGGCGGTAATCCTCAGTAGTGCCTTGCCATTTTTACAATGGACAAAAATATCGAACAAAAAACTTGTCTCACATTTTGTATTTCTAATCAAATTTTGTATGCGGAATCGTTGTGAATGTTGGAAAAATCTTACGGGGATTCTGTTTTATAAAAAACACAAGCCTGTGAGTGGTACAAAGCCTTCAAAGACAGTCGAGAGTTCATTGAACGTTCTCACTCTGGACGACCTTCGACTTCTTCAACGGCGGAAAATATTAAAAAAGCAAAGGATATTGTGTTTGAAAATCGTCAGGCAAATGTTAGAGAGATTTCAAGAAAGCTCGACATCTCTCGCTGGTTCGTTCGAATGATTTTGGTGGATATTTTGTGTATGAAACGCGTTCTTGCTCGACTCGTCCCAATAAAGCTGAATCTTTTTCAAAACCAAAAAAAAAAAAAAAAAAGTACCACAAACATGTCTCGATCAAAAACCGTATTCACTATATTTTGCTCCGTGTTCTTTCTTTTTCTGCAAACTGAAATGAGGTCTCAGTGGAAACCATTTTCAGCCGATCGAATAGATAAAACATAATTCKCTAAAGGAACTGAAAGCCATGCCGAAAAGTGCTTATGAAAAGTATTTCGAGGACTGGAAAAATCGTTGGCATAAGTACATTCCATCTGTTAAGGATTACTTTGAAGGCGACTAAAGAAATGTTGCTGAATATTTAATATTTTGCAAATTACAATTTCCGGGAAATTTCTTGATACAATGTATTTTGGTTTGATTTGTAAGCTTATTCTGATTGAACAAAAACTAAAATGTAAATTTTTTTTTCCAAAAAAATGTTTTGAAATACCTTCTGCATGAATGTAATCGAAGTATTTTTTAATGTAACAGCACCCAAATGAGCATTTGTCTATATACATATATGTAACATCAAATCGAGTTGAGTGCTTTTCAAAATTGACTAAAYTACCAAAACGTAGGAATGAATAACGCGCAATTGTAAGGCTGGTGCACATAATAAGCGACACAACGAAAAAACAACAAAAATTTGAGTGAAGGGAAGTGAGGAAATGCCGCGTGGTTGGCTAATCGACCTACTGAATAGGAAATGCAAGCGTAACGACGAAATATCGCGTGTGTGCGGCGCTTGAAAAGGCCAAATAAATTAAAGTTATTTATCATACTGCTGTAAAGTTAAAACGGATATATACGTAGTAAATATTTCTATGTYGTGTGTGTGTGCACTTGCTTTGCAAAAGCAGTAAAAATCTATGCAAATAATGAAATTAATAAATCGAAAAGTTTGCTAGCCAGAATCAAATTGATTGGGGTCTTTGCGCCAACTCAAGGAAAAACGCACACAAAGAAACACTATGCTCTGCTATGTAAGCGTATGTGTGTGTTTAAACATAGATAAAGTTAGCAAATATTAAGGCGTCAATGAAAAAAATCAAAAAAAGGTATCAAAAAACAAATTATTGCTGTATTTGCAAGCAGCAAATAGATAAAAGGAGATAACATTAAATTAAAAATGCCCACAATATMTTAACTGCCTACAGTGATGGTGATAAATTATGTCAGACAAGCGTAAGAGCACCTTAAAAATAAAGAACTTATTAAATCGCAAACGAATCAAATGACAAAAGTAAATAAATAAAAAAATATTCTGCTTTTTTATTAACAGAAAACACAGCGTTGCGAGTTCAAAGCTCGCCTACGCCCACTAAATCGATCGAAACACTGCAGCTGCTAAAATTATTGTAAGTTTAGCGTAGCTGGGGCTGAGTGGTGTGTGTGTGTGTTTGTGTAGCAAAGTAATGCTTTGACTCAACCGAGAATTCACCGCTAATCGGTTATGTCGCGACGCGCACACAGAATCGCTTGAAAGCTGCGCAATTGTTGTATTTCTTTTTGGCATTTTGCTAGTTTTGCGCTTACAGCCATATACACTTATGTATGTGTGCAATATAATTTATAAACCTTTTGGCCCGCAAGCACTCAAAGAGMCACGCTTAATTTGGGAACAGTTAATTGACCTTGATTGCGTTTAAAAGCGCGCATTTTTTCGTTTTGTTTTAGCTTTCGGCCGCGCGGTGTGCGCTTTCGACGCAACGACGCATTACTGGGCCAAAAAGGTGGCTTACATGCCGCTGTGGCACTTAAGCGAGTAAATAGGAAAAGTTTAATTTATATATATATGTAAGCGCTTATGACTATTGTAGCGACGGCRCTCGGTTGGTGGTGGCTTTGAAGTGGGTAAATGCAGCTGCAACTACAAAAGGGGCGAAAACTTATAATGAACATATGTTCATATATAAAGAAAAATATTTTTTGTAAGCGAAAGCAGCAGACAGCTTCGAATTTTCCATTGTGCGCTTATGCAACACAGTTATTGACCTTTTAAATATTTATCAGCAATTAATTGCTGGCCCTAAGTAGCGCGCGCGTAGCGATCGCAGCTGCGTCCGATGACTACAGCTGTTTAGAGCGAAAGTCAACAAATGCAACGACGCGTTTCACGCTGTCAACTTTCGAATGACACAACGCTTTTGAAAACCTCGAAAAAAAAAATACAGCGTAAAGCCAACTCAATAAAAATTAATTGCTTACAAGATATTTATAATTATGTTTTCACATATTTCACGCCTAACTTAAACCCATTTCTATAGACAAACAAAGTGTTATATCGCGGAACTGTTAAATAATATATAAATGAAAATGCAAATAAAAGTGCGCTTACCGCTCGACATATTCAAGCGCTTGCGCGCATCACGCTTCGAGTAGAGGAAATGCTGCAAGCCCAAGCTGGCGCTGGACTTCTTCGCGCTCAAGGATGCGCTGGCGCGACTTGCCAAACTCGGTGAACGATAACGCGCGCTCTTGGCGCTACCACCGGAGTTGTAATTGAGCGCGCCTTGCGATTTGGTGAGCGGCGTCGACGTGGCGATTGTGGTTTGTGCCACGCTGGCGCTAACATTCGACGCAGCTGTGGCGCCTATACTTGTAGTGGGTAGACGTGGCAGTGAATTGGTACTGGCCWYTTGCGTAACACCGTTTAAGCTGCGCGGTAATGTTGAACGCGCACCGAATGTGTCCTCATCCGATGAATCCGATTCGTAGATGGCATCTGGTACGCTCGAGCGTCGCACATCCTTGCAATCGCTGGTGGTAACCCAGGGTTTGGCCGGGGATGCCTCCAGCTCTTGATGCCTTTCATCGCCGCCACCAATGCTGCCACACGAGCGCACACGATCTAGTTGCTCGCGACTCATACTCTTGTGATTGAACAACAGATCACCTGCCGAACGACGCTTTGCAACGGCCAAAGCGGACGCAGACGATGAGTTGTCACGATCGAGTTGACTGAGTTTCGTTCTGGAATCGCCATTAGCCAGTAATGCCGATTCAAAACTACCGCGCCACGAGAATCGTTCATAATCGCTGGCGACCCCACACTCCTCGCCGGCGGTATCGCTGACACCGCTGCTCGATTGATGATGGTGTGGACGTGTCGCCCCTGTACTGCTACCGCTTACGCTGCTGCTACATGCTGCCGATGTCGAGGCTGAGTCGAGCAGTAGATCATGTGATTTGCTACGTGCGAGATTATTCGCTTCGTCCTGTAGCGCTTTGTTCGATTTCGTTTGATGATGTGACAAATGATGCGGCTGGTGTAGGTGGTGTTGATATGCGAACTGTTGTTGTTGTGTTGTGTGATGYGTGTTACGCGCCGATTTTACTTGGTCCCCACTCTCCGAAGCGCTCTCTTCTTCATCCTCCGTGGTGGTAATGGATATTTTGGCTTGTAGCCGTTTGTGGTGATTGCGTTGTGGCGCAATTGGCGAATTGGTGCCGTGCGAATCATTACCGCTGTTTACCTCGTGCATAAGCGCGACAAGCCGTGTGCCGATGTGCTGCATTACCTTGGCGAACAGTTGCGGAGAACGTTCTACGCTCTGTGTGCTTCCGGTTGAAATTCGATCTTCTTCCACAGTGCGCTTTGTGTCGACGTCCTCTGCGCTGGCTGGTGGCAGCTCAACCGTGGCTTGCGTTGCAGTTGTGTTATTTGCATTTCCCACAGCTATTTTCGAGAATGACGCCACTAATTTCTGATATACCAGCGCTGTGTCCGAATTCAGGCCGTGTGTATCGACCTCAAGCAGACCGCCGTCTCCACGATCGCCTTCCTCATCTATCTCGAATTTATTTATAATTTGCTGGCAGCTAGCGGAGATTTGCTGCTTTAATTCGCCTTTACGACGATTGCTGCCTTCGAGATCGGAGCTGGTATAATCTGAAGAGTCGCATGAGTCGGACCACGTGTCCTCACTACTCAAGTATTCGACAATTTCACGCACTTGTTCATCATTTATGCCCGGCACTGTTTTCATCAGGCGTGTGAGCTCATTCTCGAAATATGCTAATTGTGGTCTCGTCTTCATGCGTCGYACCGAAATAGGTGTGGTTTGATTGGGTGTGGTGCCCTTTGAGTTATTCGCAGAACCGTAGTTCTGTTGCGCATTGGCAGTGGCGACCACCAGTGTTTTGAAGAACTGACGCATCTTCGACATCATCAAGTTGGTCTCTTCATCCGAGCTCCARTTGTTGAAGCTATCCTTTCGCACCAAACTGGCATTGGCTGTGGGTGGCAGTGGTGGCTTGAGCGTAAGCCCATCTGGCTGCAGKGTTGTTGTTGAGTCATTYGGCGTCGTGATACGCACCTCGGGCAAAACTATACTTTCACTAGTGGCRYTTAGTGGCGATTCTTTGACCTCTTCGATCTGTTCCAGCGCTGTKGGCGATTTGGTACGTACTGCCGCGCTGGTCGTTGGCAATTCGGTTTCGGGCGATTTAAGCAGATCGTCATTGCTGCCTACAAAACCGCTATCACGGCTATGATGTTGTTGTTTCTTCGCTTGTGCGCTGCTAATTGAGCCAGGTGTGGGTGTGCGGCATTCGGCATTTGTTCCACCTGATTTCCCAGCATCCTCGGCAGAGTCATGCAATTTCTTCTCATCCAAAGAGTCATGACGCTTACGTACTTGTTTCTTACGTTTTATCGTGTCCGAAGAACTGCTCTCGAATGCCTTCTCGCCACCACTGCTAACATGCAGTACGGTGTCATCGCATGCTTCCGATTCGGAAGAGTCTAAGAGATCGCTGGCAGTGGATGGCATGAGACTCGGCTCGAGTGAGTCGGCAGGCAAGGATTGCGAATCGACCAGCAGATTGTCCAATGAGGAATTATGTGAACGCGGTGTGCCACGTGCACGTACCAAACGTTTGCGCCGTTGACTGGGACTGGGGTGACCCTCACTGTCACTGCCCACGCTACCGCTCTCATCGGATTCGTTTTTATCGCTGGCGCTGAAACCCATAAAACCGGAAAGAAAGTATTTCTCCAAACGGGATGATGCGAGTTCTGCGGCACTATTACTATCGTTGGCATTCTCTTCCGGTACACCAAGCGAATCTAGGCCTTCCGAACATTCACTGCTCACCTCAGATGCGGTGTCATCGCCACGCGTATCAATCGAGCTCATCACTTTACCATCACCCAAATCGAAGAAGAAATACTTTTCCAAATCGGATGCCGACAAGCGATTATGATGATTGATGGTGCGTTGTCGACGTCGCTCTAACTCATCCAACTCCTCACCGCAATCTTCAGCGCCACGCAATGAGGCGACTTCACTTTCTTCACAACTCTCTTCCACTATCGTATGCAGAGTGAAATCAATTGTGGAACGATGATACCCACGCAATTCCTCTTCGCGATCGATAAACATGCCGTTCGCCGCAACGGTATCATCGCCATCCATACTTAGATCCTCTGAATCGGAGGCAGTTGGCGTCGTGTCATCACCGAAATCTTCATCACCACGATGACTGATCTCCTCTACCCAAGAGTCGTCGTCCGCTAGTCCGTCCTCCAAGCACACAGCTTTCGTTTTCGAATTATACTCATTATCTAGAAAATCTCCATCGTCATCCGCGCCGACTCTACTGCTGCGTCCGCTGCCACGGCCATTCGAAAGATTGTCGAAATCTTCCTCTTCCGAATCACCGTAGATAATCTTTTGATCGCGTAGCAAATCCACAGTATTCACGGGAAAATGTGCCTGTTCGCTGGCGTTCATGTCGTAAGACAACGTCACCCTGCTATTATTATTGTTGTGGCTAATCGTATTGCGAACAGCTGGCGACGAAACATATAGCAGGGCGGTGGAGGACGAGGCGGAAGGCGATTTCAGTGAGTCATCAGCGCCATCTACTCTGTGGTTCTTAGCACTGCTGGCGTTTCTTGCGGCTATGCTGTGCACTTCGCTGAAACTTGTTCTTTGCTGTGCTGAAACTGCGGGGGAATTGCTAACGTGATTTGCATGACTGCTATTACTGTGCGGCGCGTTCGCCTCATAACCACTCAAACGTATAATACTACCACCATTCGCGCTGCTACCAACACAATCTGCGCCATTCATACCACCACCATCAATTCCACCAATTCGGTTCTCGTGTGTTTGTATGGCTTGTTTGACGCGTGTAGCCGCAGATTCTATTGTCGTTATTGTTGTTGTGGTAGTGGTGGTTGCTGTGCTATTGTTGTTGTTGCTGGCCAAATGCGCTTTGTCCACAAATGCAACGCTGGCATTGCTGTTGGCCAGCAGTTCGTTGACGTTAGCGATTTGTCCGTTGTCTTTTGTAATCATAATTAAACTGCGATATTTGGCCGAAAGTGAAGTGGAGGGACTTGCGCTCGCGGCTGTGGGTGCAGAATTGGCGTTGAATTTCGTGCGCGTGCTGGGTGCGGCAGCGTCACCAAAAATACTATCGAATTGTCTGCTACCACTAAAGGTTTCGTTGTTGACACTAAAATGGGGTGCGTATGTGTTGTGTGCCGCCCTTGCGCCTGCCGTTGTTACTACCGCTCCGTTGTCGCGTTCAGCGTATTCCACACAAGCGCTTGATGACGCTATAACGGGCGCTTGGTTTAGTTGTTCTTTCGAAGCGTTTACGCGCTCGTAATCGTCGCTGTAGGAGTATATAGTTTCTGCTTGACCCGCGCGCTCGTCGTAACCGCGTTCACGTACACGCTCGCGCTCGTAGCCTTTTTYGTTAGCGTTTTCTATTATTTGGTTATTCACTACCACCACTTTGGCATTCACTTTATGATTGGCTTTTGTAACACTTTTATTGTTGTGGCTATTRTTTTCAATTTTGCCTGACTTTTGTTGATTCACGTTGTCTTCGGCTTCGTTAGCACTATGCGCCGCTTTGCGCTTTTCCACACTTAAAACACATGCACTCACACTGTTACCACCAACTTGTGTGTTGTTGTTATTATTATTTGATTTATTTTGCACTAACGCGAACGCTTCGTGCGATTTATCTTCTTCACCTTGATTGCGTTYGTTTTCAACGCTTTGCGCTTGTTCACTTTGCTTGTTGCCTATTTGTAAAATTGCACTGCCACTTTGTGTAGAATTTAATGAAACAACACCGTCACTATCAAATTCACTATCACCAGCACCAACGTCACCGTCACCGTCGTTGCGATCTTTCGCGTTTAACATTTCATTTTCAACTAAACACAACGAGTTGGCCAAAACATTAGCGGACGCTGCGCGTACGACTTCCACGGCCGCTGTCGCTGCCGCGTTCAGCTGAGTTCGGCCCGAATGCGTCGACACGATGTTAGCCATTTCATTGACGGTATTGTCGTCGTTGCTGTTGTTGTTGTTRTTGGTGTATGTAGTGACGTTTCCATGTTCGTGCTCTTCATTGTTGTGAATTATTGCTTTTGATGTTGCTATCTCAGCTGGCGCGTCACTCGCCCCGCTCTCACAAACCAGCTGACGCTCTTCTGCCATTTCATGAATTCGCAATCCCAACTCTTCAGCTAACTGCGCGCACTCTTGCGCTTCCAGTGTTGGACGCCAAGCCACTGCTGCTGGTGACTGCGCTGCTACGCCGTCGCTCAACATATGCTTWGCTTGGTAAACACTTTGCTCAGGTGTTTTATGCCTTTGCTCGTCGCTTTTCGCAAGTGCATTTTTGTTGTTTATTGTTGTTGGCGTTGTGTTATTAGTTGTAGTTGTCGGCATACTCGTTGGCTCGAGCGAGTCCATAAAGCAGCCGGAGAGCGATTGCGGCGGCGCTAGTTCATTAGTCGTTTTGCACGCTTCGCTGAATCTTCCCAGCCATGCTGGTCGCTGTAGTGGCTGTAAGTACTCTTCTTCGCTTTCTTCTTCTTCTACAATCGTTTTTTCTTCAACTTTATCTTTTACTATGTTTTCTTTGCTTTGCTTGTAGTTTACATTGGCGCACTGCTCAGCTGTTCGGCTTGTACCTGTATCCGTACCTGTTTTCTGTTGTTCCAGCTCGTTCGCGCTTAGTGTTGTTGGCCTTTTGTTTGTTGTCGTCGTCGTCGGCGGCGGCTCATTTACATGCGCTTCTTCAATTTTATTATCTGCTTGAAGTGCCACCTTTTGTAGTTGCTCTGTTGTTGTTGTTGTTGTTATTTTATTGTTTTGCTTTTGTTTTAAGTTAGCCGTTTGTGTGCTGCTATCCTCACCTTCTGCTTTGTTTTCAGCACAAACAACAATGCGATTATCGTTTTTCGTCACCGTAGTATTGTCAGCGCTTTGTTGTTGTTGTTTTTCTACTTCTTCAATTTCAGTCACATTCACTGTTTCTTTTTCATTAGAATCACTTGCGCGCTTCTCAGAAGTCTGGCGCTCTTTACCTGTTTCGCCAACCTGCGCGGCAGTCAAGCGGCGCGACTCACACACAACGCTTTGGTCCGCCTTCAGCGCCTTCTCTGCATTTTTTTGCTCTGCAGCACGTTGTTGCTCAAGTACTTTTTCATTTTCTTGATTTATGTCTGTATTTTCTTCCTCCTCTTTGTCATGTTCCTGTGCCGCGCTATCGTTGCACTCGTTGTTTGCTTTGTTGTTGCGCGTCTTTCCCTCTACTTCAGCCGCCGCGTCGGCACTCAGCATTTTTATATTCGTTGCAAGTACTTCGTTTCCATCAATTATTGCTTCCCTCATTGTTGTAGTCGCAAGCTTTGTGTTGCTTGCTGTTGTTCTAGTTGTTTCTTTTGTACTTGGTGTAGTAGCACCACAACCTGTTTGAAAACTATTTTTAGTTTCATGCCCGACCATATCGCACTGTTGGCGCTGTGCTCGCGTTTCGTCGCCGCGTGCAAAACCAGCTGCCGGCAGTGGTCGCGCACCGCTCACTTCGTCGCCGTCGCCGTCGCCGCCACCGCCGCCGCTAACATTGTGCGCGTCCCTATTAGTTGCGTCATCATTGCAAACAGCAGCAATGGCGTGCGCGTCATCGCTTTTTTGCGCTTCTGTATTGTTCTGTGCCACGCTATTGTCGTCATCGCTTAAGCCGCGCTCAGGTGTCACTACCGTCGCTGCGGCGGTGGAAGAAGACTTTGAAATGCTAGGCGGCGTCATTGTAGTAGCGGATGTGTAATCCGCTTGCGCTACACTATTTAGCGCGCCATCAGCGGTSKTGGCCGAAGGCAGATGGTCTTTGTTGATTTCTTGTACGCCGCGTCGCAATTTTTGCAATTTCAGTTCGAGCTCGGAGTTYTGTTTTGTCAGCGCCAACAAGCGATTAACATCGTTCGAAATGCTATGCAACTCATCGCAGGCTTCTTGCGTGTCTATTTCCCAATCGTGTGCAGTTGTTGTTGGTGCGCTTACGCCAGCACCATCAGCGCGCATCAGCTCTTCGCCAGTGCCTTCAAAGTTTTTGTTTTTCGTTGTTGTTGCGCTGAAATCAAACGAAATCGTTGGCGCATCTATTGTGTTTGCTGTGGCATGTTTTGGCATTGCAACAGCTGTTTTGCTATCTAAATCTGTTTTAATTTCTATTTGATTTTTTGCTGCCATTATTGTAAAATCTGTTTTCGTTGTTGTTGTTTTCTCGTTTGTAGCGGCGTGTGCTGCTCTTAATTGCTCTAATTGTTGCGTTGTACGATCGCTTGATTTTATGCATTGCATGTGGCTTTCTTCAGCGTTTTTGCTGCTTTCGTTGTTTTTGCTTATGTTTTTGTTGCCTTTGGCGCTAGCCATGTCTGTCTCACTTGCCACTTTCTTGCTAACTGTGCCACCAATAGCGCGCGCTCTATTACTACTGCCCGACGCCGTCGCTGTGCACTTTTTACGTTCGCGTTCGCGTTCACCCAGCGCTTGCCGCTCCGCCTCTTCGTCGTTCAACAGACGCATCGCATGCAACACCACACCGCCATTACCGTTCGCTTCATTATCGGTTTCGCCGCCAACGACAATAATACAATTGGCAATCTCATCAGCCGACGTTGCCACATATTTGCCAGCAACATGTCCGCGTTCACTTTTGACTGTCTTGCACATACGTTTATTAGCGGCAACATTATCGTCACCGCCATCATAATCATCATCATCATCATTATTGTCGCTTTGATACTCAGCATCATTATGCGCATTCCGTTCATTGTCGCTTGTGCTTGTATCATCACTCTCACTTTCATCAGCCATATGCCAGCCGCTTGCCGTTGCGCCCGCCTCTTCCTCACTAATGACCTTCACCGAATTCAAGACAATGCCACAATCGGGACGCTCAGTGTCCGTATCATTGTCTGATGAGTCTTCGAGATTGGCATCCGATGATTGTGAATCATTTTCGCTAGATGTCGAAGCGCCACGTCGCCGGTGCGCGCGTGGCACTGGATTCACCACGAACACTTTAGCGAAATGTTTGCTTTTGGGTCGCCTATCGGCTATGGTGCCCGTGTCATCGGTGTCGATCGACTCGGACGAGCTCGAACTATTGGTTGTTGTGTTCTCACTGCTCGTATTGGTATTCTGATCCTTCGCGGAAGTGGCGGAACTACGTGAATGTGTGCGCCTAACGCGTGCATATGGTTCGGCAGCGACGCTGGCCGCCAACACATCGCCATCCTTATCGTCATCATCCAAATGACTGACAATAAGCGCCTCGATGCCCGCCACACTGGCGATATCATAACTGCGCTGTACCGAGCGACGCGCACCGGACTCTGCGGTGGACGTGCGGCTCTTTGATTTGTATTCCTTTTCGTTACTGTCACTCAAATCTGTATCTGTATCGCCGCTATCTGCCGATTCGGCATCTGAAGATGAGAATACATTTTCACTTTGTAGATAGCCGCCAGACGTTGTGGCATCGTTCTTCAATTTACCAATCGAAATCATGGCGCTGTAGGATTTTGTTTGTTTACCGCGCTTCTTTGTCGTATTATTGAATTGCTGGAAGAGCGCTTGTTGGTTTTCGAAAAGATTTGCTTCCTCCTTTAGTGGTATTAACAAAAGTAATTCGACATTTTCCTGCAGCTGCTGTTGTGATCGTTCTGCTATGGTTCTGTTCGCCTTCACTGCAGTCTTACAAGTGCTCGCTTTAGTGTTCGGACGATAACTAGTTTCAGCTACGCGCTGACGCTTGCTGCCAGCGCCTTGCTCAATTCCTTTCACGTCTTCAACGGCGCTGTTGGCGTCATGCACATAGTTAGTTGTCGCGCTGACGCTGTGCGCTTTACCAACATCACTATTTCCGCTCCGCGAAACAACCACCTTTTCCTCCGTGTCAGCGTTGTTAGCGCTGACGTGCAAAGCACTATTGCTGCCGCCACTGGTGTTGTGGTTAGTCCAAGTGGTGGTAGTGGTGGTGGAATTACTATAAGTGCTGGCGTCCACGCTGTTCGCCAAACGAGTTCTTGCCGTTGCGCTATTGTTGTTGGCTAACTTAAGTTTATATTGATTTTGTTTGCCTGCTGTCGCTTTTTCCACTTTAACCGTGTGACTACAGCATTGCGTCGCCGGACTTGTGTTTAAGCTTTGCTCACCGTCGCTTAGCTTGTCGTTGTCGTCATAGCAATACGGCGCCGCCGCTGCTTGTTCTACCAGGCGTTCGTCGCTGCTCTGACTGCAGCTGCGCGCTGATGCTGCGATCGATAGGCGCTCTGCCGAATTTACTTCAACGTCTGCGCTTTTTCTTGCTACACCTTTTGCTGTTCTTTGCAAGGCAATTGGTATGGTTGATGTTGGTTTTGTTGTTCTGTTCACGACTTGTTTGGCGGCTAGCGCGTTGCTGTTTGTTTGTTTTATATTCTGGTCACTCCGTGACGACGACGATGACGTCTCATTCGTCTTTTCAGCAAGCGCGCTGCTCCAGTCTCGGTCTGTGTCACTATTAATATTAGTTTTATTTTTCTGGTTTTTGTTATTGCTCTTATTGTTGTAGTTGCTGTTGTTTTTGTATTGCTGCTGTTGCTGGTTACCTACGTTTACTGTGCGTATGGCCGTACAAGTTTTGACATAGCGGCCGCTGTTTGTTTCGTCGCGGCGTACCTGTCCGCCTGCAAGTTTTTCTTGCAAATGCGCAAACTCGTTTGGCTCCACACTTTTTTCAGCTGTTTTTAATGATAACCTTTGCTGTTGTTGTTGTTTGTTATTTTCTGTGAAGCGCTGGCTAGCGCTATTAGTAGATCTGCAAGTATTTGCTAATAATTGCCATTCAGAGGCGGCTGTTTCCTCTTCTATGCCCTCAGCGTGCTCAGCGCCTTCGCAGCCGCTGCGCTTATCAATTGAAGCGTTCGCGGAAATTTCGATATCAACGTTCGGTTGTTGTAAAAGCTGTTGCTGCTGTTTATCGGTACTGCGCGCACGACTCCGTACTTTTTTATAATCACTACAGTGTGTTGTTGTTGTTGCTGGTCTTGTTGTGCGCTGGCCATCTACAAATGTGGGCGTTTCATTTTCAAGTGTTTCACACGCGTTCACCTCGGCAAAAACGTGCTGATCCGTCTCACTGAATACACGACTCGAACGCGTCGACGGTTTTGTTGCTACTAATATTGGTGGTTCGCGCAAACCAAACGCCAACTGCTCGCCGCATTTAGCTTCACTATTGTTGTAGTTGTTGCCGTTGTTTGTGTTGGTATAACTTGCTGTTTGGTTGCTTTCTTGACTGACAGCTGTGGACTGTTGCTGCACCATTAATGTGTTGGTGGCAGTGTTGTTTGTGGTTTGCGGGCCAAAGTTGCTATTATTATTTATTTGTTGATGTTGTTGTTGTTGGTAGATTGTTTGCTGTTGCTGCAGGCTGTTTGCCGCAAACCGGCTCAAACTACCGAATTCACCCAAACCACTGCTGGTCAATGTCTCCAAACTGCCAGCTGTGGCGGTTGTGCCATACCCCGATGACGAAGCCTGCGAATACATGGAGGCGCTCAGTTCTGGCGTGGATGATTTGAAACCGGCGCGCGCCAGTCTTGCCTGCATACCCAACAAAGGCGCGCCGCCACCACCACCTTCATCGACAGTTAGTTCACCGGATTTACCGGCGCTCAGCTTTTGATAGTTGGCCGCATTCGAATAGGCTGCCACCACCGCTGCTGCAGCGGCTGCTTGTAGATTGTTGGCCGTTTCGTCGGTGTGCTGTGCCAAACCGGGTCCTGCTGTGCACCAGAGCTTCTGCAGCGAGGCGCGCAATTGCTCATCTTTGTCCATAATGTTGAGTATGTCTGAATGGCTGGCGGCATGCGTATTAGCGGCGCCCTTCAACAGTTCATTGGGGTGCCAACTGTGAAAGGCGGCCATGGGCACTGGTATCGGCACCGGCACCGGTATGGGCACATATTGCGGTTGTGGCTGCGGCGGTGCGGTGGGCGGCGCCGGTGTAACGCCACCACAACTACAGACACCCAGTGGCGTTGGGGCTGTGTTCTCCTGCAATTGCTTGGCCGCGGAATGGTGATGATGTCGATAGTGATGATGATGATGGTGATGTTTGCTTTCTTTGCCCACAAAACGCGTTTTGATGCGTGTCTTCATGCTCAACTGATGATGTTGCTGTTGCGGCTGCTGCTGCTGCTGCTGCTGCTGACGACTAGTCGCTCTGACGTTTGGCGTGTCGGCGGTTGTTGCACGCACGAAATAGCCATCGGAGCTGGTTTGTGAAGAACTTTCACCTTGCATGAGCAGCTCCTCATCGGTGCCGGTGTCACTTTCGCGTATGCGCGGACAGTAGACAAGCGGTTTGCGGTAAAGCAGTGGCGATTCGGTGGGCGAGGCGGTGCTCTCGCTAGACTTAAAGTCACGCATTGCGGCGTTGCGACGCGTGACCAACGGCGAGGCGCACGGTGAGTAGATGATTTGTTTGGTTATTGAGCCGCTGGTGCAAATCATAGACGGCTCAAAGTAATCCCAATCGCAATCGTCTATCGTAATGCTGCTATAGTTGTGTGTGGATGAGGTGGTGGAGCTGCTATCCTCGAACTCCTCATCCTTGCCGGAGGACGATGAGTCKGAGGAATTTATGAAGACGAGCTTAAATTCCTCGGCATCCATATTGTAGTGTTGGTGATTGAATGTTATCGATTTTAATTCCAATTCGGAGGAGGTCTCCATGTCGTAGGCATCTGTGCGGAGTGAAAGGRGTGCGGAAGGCGGTCAGTTGCTAGTTTGAATTTGCTTACAAAGTTGAGTGTTTTAGTTAGCCAAAACCCATGTTGTACGTTTGAGTAAATGTATTGCCGTTACCGTTATTTTTTTTTTTTTTTATAAAGCACACCATTTATGAGTAAGTATTAGGCGCCTTAATACCACTATTTTTAGTTAATTCTTTTCTTAGCTGCCATCACCGTTTTTTATTAGTTAATGCTCACGAACTACTAACACCAGAGTTGTATTTTTCTACTTTACAGTTATTAATACTATTTTTAAATACACATAACCACAAAAMATTTATTTATTTTATGATTTGATGACTTTYAAGAACAATTACATAMATACATATATACAAATATTGATAAAGTTATTTACTACAAAGTCATTACATATTGTGGATGATTAATCATAGAAATGTTTAGTAACAACTGGTTGCTGTGTTTTCACCACGAGCTGAGTGGGCACACGTTTTTGACATTTGAATTGTTTATTACGAAAGCATGTGACTTWTGTAAATTTAGTTTTTCTGTCATTAGCAGAGTCGATAGTTTATTTTAACAAATACTCTGTAGGTAAACTTAGTTTGAAAAGATGTTATTCTCTAAAATTTTGACTTTACAATTTTTTTGTTGAAAATTTCGAGTTTTTCAAATGTTAGCTTAGCACGAAGAGAAAAATATTATAAACTTAAAAAAATATAGCATAGTTAGAACATAAAAAAATTTCTCCAAATTTCGTGAAAGAAAACAATTTTGTAGATGATAAAAACAGAAACCCAAAAAAATTTGTTATGYCAATATTTAACGTAAATTTTAAGGTGATGTGAAATAAATCTTTWAACAAGAGTATATATCTTTTCTTTACTTAGACCATTGCTATATAACTTTTTTCTGAGGTGATTGTTCTGTCGGAAAACAAGATAAACCATTCTTAATCCTATAAAACTCAACCACGCCCTTTCTTTTCCCAACCTCAGATCGGCCGTAAATTATTTTTCCCCTAATGTTTGTTTTATGTATCTTTTAATACTATTGTTTTTATTWTCAAAAAAACTCAAGATTAATGACTTTTTCGTCCGACAATCACTTTATTGAAGAACATTTTCGGTKATCGCATTTTTTCGCTTCGTAGACTTGTGAATAGGTACTGAGATGAATATACCTTATAATTTTCCAGACAACTTCTATTGAAAGGATTCAACACTATTACCAAATAATCAGTGATAACCTATAACTAGATAAAATATATCTTAGATCAAAGKGTTTACTAAGATCTTCTAGGTATTGAGCAGCGATAAGATATATGCTTGTAAGTTCTAGTAGTCAAAAACAGGATAAGGAACTTCCAASTGTTCTCAGTATGGTATGAATGATAATCAGGGTTGTAATTTGCAAATAATATTAGTGAACAGTTCATTTTAATCGATTAAAATAGCAAGAAAGCCGTACCTAGCCTACAAATAGGGAGCATATTGCGGCTCCACTGCCTGTGTGAATATTTAACTACCTGTAAAATACCTGAGTTTCGAATCTGGAGGCTTTTTCATGAAAATGCTACAGTCATTAGGGGGTCGAAGTTCTAAGAACTTCAATTATAAAATCTGCAGCCATYTTTTGGCTTCGTCTTCGATCAGCAGATCTCAAAGCACACACCTYACCTCTGTTTGAAAACGGTACATCGGCCGGAAATGTCAGCAAGTGCTTTGAATGTTATTGAGAACTGATTGGTAATGTAAAAATATTAATCAAAGTTGCTCGTGATCCACTTTTAGGKTATTTATCGTGACAACTTGTATCTGCGTAAAAACCAACTAGATATTATGGTAGAACTGAACTGATTTAAAATTTTTAGGCAAAATCGAGTGRATGGCAAGTTTTATGCGATTTTTTCCGAAAGAAAATCATTCGGAGATTTGTGATTGTCTACCGTGAGGCAGACCCCCTCATTATGTTCTGTGAAACTAGCATCAACTCAGATTGAGCGTTTTGGTAGTAATTAGCATTTATCATTGTCCGCTCCCAAGTAATATGAATTCTTAATAAAAGCTCATCGTATTAAAGAAGTTTATAATGTATATAATGACAACCAGTTATTACGAGTCTCATGACGAAGTGATAAGTCGATGTATAAAGAAAATAATTTAGAAACCAAGGAAACAGCTGCTATTAGAGACAATTGCTCTGTATTACCCTGAAATAAAAATGTAGCCCGTTTTTTTTTATTTCTTTCATTAAACAGTAATTAGCGTGAACAATTGAAAATTTAAACAAAAAAAAAAAAACTTTCTAAGAGGCATCATAATATAGATAATAAACGTTTCCACTCTGCTCTCGCTAAAACACCTGTTATTATGAGCTATGTATGTRCTTGAAAAAGTACGCATCCACTAAAAAAATTGATGAAAAGTGTAGCTTATTACTCATAGTCTCTCATATTTCATTATGACTTGCGTATAAAATTTAATATGTATATGTTGATATGATAACTTCGGTGCGTTATCTGACAGCTGAAAATCATAACAAGTTTCAGAGAGATAGCAACTTATAATGCCTTTATCAGATAAAATTATGGGAGAAGGGGGGAAACAACAAAATCAAAAGGGAATAATTTGGTTTTGTGAAAAATGATAAGATTAGTTCTTTTTGCTTTATAATAACGGGTGATCCAAGTAGATGTACCTTTTTCAATATGTCATGTTAATTTCTCATGTTATTTTTGTTCAGTATTGTTTGGCATTTCWTCGTGGAAAGACTTACACCTGAACATTATTACGAGAACTCACGTTATGTAAAGAATGTGTTTCGTGCGCTTCGCTTAGCTCATGGTGAATATAATCGTTCTACTGAGCATACTATTCGCAACATCATATCCAATCTTGCGACCCAGCATTCATTTTTGGATAATATTCGACCGAATAGACTACGTCTAGCACGCAGTGAAAAAATTGAGAGCGTACAAAATACAGCTTGTGCAAGAACTGAAGCCGCTCAATCATCTCAAGCGACATGGCTTCGCTCTATGGAATCTTGATAAGTTCCAAGAAGATCCGACATTTTCTATCCAAATTTTTTTCTGTAATGAGGAACATTTCTGGCTTAATGGATATGTAAAAAAAGCAAAATTGCCATATTTGGGACGAAGGGCAACCTGAAGAGACTCAAGACTTTCATCCAAAATAAACAACGGTTTGGTGTGGTTGGTATGTGCGGGTGGAATCCTCTGTTTCTTCAAAACTGATGCCTGCCGAAACTAGTACCAGTCGAAATTTTACAACGTGTCATCGAAAATTGGACTCAACGGATCTCAACGGATGGACCAGCTGAGACGTAAACGCGGCGAACATTTGAAAAATGTAATCTTCAGAAACAACAAAAAAAAAAAAAAAAAAAATTGTATATAATGTTCTTTCGAATGATAATAAACATTTTCTATTAAATGTGAGGTTACTATGTTCAATAGTAGTACCTTGACCACCCTCTATAATGTTCTTAGTAATTTTAGATAATGTGTGTCAAAACAGTAGTTGGATATTTATTAGGTCTATAACTGCAAAATGAGATCGGTTATTTGAAGAAAGAATCTACAATAGTGACATTCGAAGTATCCAACTAAAACTATAACATTTCTGTGGATTCTATCCCAAAAGAACTGGTCCGGCTTGGCGTCCAATAATAAATTATGCTTATGTTTGAAACCCGGTACTAATATGAACCGCATTCCAATGAGGACACGAGGACGTTCTGTATGGTAAGGAACAAATAGTGGTCAGAAGAAGCAAGGTCTCGGCTATAAGGCGGGTGAGTCAAAACTGCTAAGCSKCTGTRTTCCMAATAGTTTTTAGCCAGTTCAATTTGAKGAGATTTTTATCTGTAACATTACCSCTTAATGGTATAACCCAGTATTAGAAGCTCATAAGGCAGCAAGACTTCTTCGGCTTTGCTCTTGACCAGGTTGGTTGGGCAGGTTTTACGTACGCTTTTTTTGAGGTTAGGCTCTTTGCAATGGCACCACGTTTCATCACAAGCCACAAGTCGACACAAAAGCGATATCATTTTGTAACGTTTAAGCCTCATTTCTGACATGCAAAATCGTCTTTCAACACCTCTTGGTTTAAATTTATATGGCAGCCAATTTTCTTGCCATTGAATACATCCTCCTGCTTTAAAACGACATATCATCTATCGAAGAAGACGCCCAATGACTTTAGCTTTCCAACGCATGTTCGAAAAAATTTACTAATAATAAAGTTGCGCCATCTCTTGACGAATATARTTATAGACCCAGTATAAAAAAGTATCAGGACGAAAATTTTGACTTGAGTTGCTTTCACTGTAACATATGTTTAGCAGTTTCGATATTATTCATACTTGCCTAGCTGCCATCAAAACAGCGTGTTTTAGGTCGTTTGAAACTATTTTGATTTGGGACTTATTAAAATTGGTAGAGTTGATTATTTTTACTTTTCCAAAAATACATTTTTATTTTTTCCCAGATACTTTATTAGCACACGATAAATTATTTTTCACTTTTCTTCTCAGTTTTAGATGTCGAAAAGAACCACTTGTCAATAAAAATTATGGTATTTTTCTTCAACATATTGCAAAGGTACAAAAATGTTGAGTTTTGATGGYAGTTACATATGTATACATAATTATAAATGTCGCAAGTGCTATGAATTGTAAGGAGTAAGTAGCTTTGTTAAAAAGTTGCCTTAATCACACTTAAATACATATATGTAGGWGTGTGAATTAAAGAACATCCTTTAAGCCATTTGACAGCTTGCGACAGGTGTCGTAAAATGCTTTTATAGCTTTCGAAAATTGCAAGCGAATTTGTAAGTGATACTGCAAGACATCTGGGAGCTAACTTAATATTTTTACGAAAACAGGAGAGCAATTATAACATTCCTGACAAAGTATGAAAGTAATTGACGCATACAATTTATATCTATGTGTATTTACTAAATGTGCAAGTGTGCTTTAGAAAGCACTGAAGTTTGGTTTAAATTTAAGTTAGAGAAATCTTGGAATCCAAGGTTTTTTGGTTTGGAATTTTGCCAAAAAATTAATGAAATGACCGAAGAAGACAATAAATGGTTAAATTTTCTGTTTATATGTGATGAGAACCATTTTGATTTAAGATGACAGGTAAACAAGCAAAATTGCCGGATATGAAGTGAACCAAGTTCAGATATAAACCACGAGACGCAACTTCACATAGAATGAGTCATTATGTGGAGGGCAGTTTCATCAAGATGTATTGTCGAACCATAGTTCTTTGAAGAAAACGTTGTAACAGTAACAATTATTTAAAGATGTTGAAAGATTTTTTTTACCTAGAACTACGGTGTAGAACTGCTCCCAGCAAGATGGAGCAACTGCACACATAGCTAGACCGGTAATTGCGAACCTTTAACGAAAATTTGAAAACAAATATTTTAAAGTCTCCTGACTTGACTGTATCAAATTTTTGTACGAGGTTATGTTAAGCAAGGGTTGTACAAAATAAAACCTGGAAATCTAACTTAAATCGTTAATTGAAGTAAGCCCGACTTAAACCCCTCAGCCCACATTGAATAATTTTCTAACTAGGTGTCGCCTATACGTGGCGAGATTCTATTAGATTGCTACAACCTTCGTAGGTTGTGTGTGAAGTTTGATCAGCATATGTTAAGTTGTGAATGTTTGGCAGCTGTTTGTTTATGCGCGAAAGGATTATCTGGCCATTTTTGCCATGGCAAAAAAAATTTAACAACGAGTTTGCTTGAAAGTTTGGTTTTGAATTACAAAAAGTATCCGTCAGGATAGGGAAGGATCTCTGCGAGTCGTTCGATACCAAAGGAGGTTTCAGACGTGCAACTTCTGCATCTACTGCTGGAAAATAATTCGAGCAGCCGATGATATTGATATTATCCTCAACARRGAAGAAAATGAGTTTGGTAGTGMACGAGGGCAAGACGAAATATCTCCTATATAACATCTAAGTCGTAGATAATTTCRTCTATCTTAGAACTGGCATTAACACCAACAACAACCTAAGCCTCGAAATTTATCGCAGAATAACTCTTGCCAACAGGAACTACTTGAGACTGAGTAGGTAATTGAGAAGTAAAATCTCTCCCGACGAACAAAAACAAAATTCTACAATGACAATGACAACGTCTGATGAGCCTGCCTTGGGAGTGTTCGAGAGAAAGGTTTTGCGGAAGATTTATGGGCCTTTGCGCATTGGCAACAACGAATACCACAGTTGATAGAACAATGAGCTATATAAGATATACGCATATGTAGGATGACATTGGCATAGTTCAGCGAATTAAAAGGCAGTTTCTACGCTRGCTAGGTCATATCGAATGCATGAAGCACTTAAGCTCTGAGAGTATTTGATGCAGTACCCGCCGGGGTAAGCAGAGGAAAAGGAAGAGCTTTATTTCATTAGAAAGACCTAGCTACACTATTAATCTTTAATTGGCGCCAAACAGTGAAAAAGAAGAACAACTGGCGCACTGTTGTTAATATAACCGCAAGTAAAAGTAGAAGAAGTCATAAAAGAGATGCTTGACAAGGTAGAACCCTACATTCATCAAACAAACATGGCGTCGGAACTTTCAAACAAAAAAATTCTGGAGGCACTGACAGTCCTTCCAGCCGAGGTTTATAACAAATGTATGGAGAATTGCATTACRTTGTTATGCTTTTATTGCCTTAAAAGGAGTATATTTTGTAAGCGTAAATGTGATGAATTAAAAATAATCTTCCGTTTTCAGTCAGTTTATTAAGACTTATAACTCGTTCACTTTAATCTCTGATATATTCGCTTTATTAATCTAGAAATCAGAGCCGTCGCTTACTCAAATWATTAAAATGTGCTACAGCATACCATAATGTTGTTAGAACACTGCTTGCTGAATGAAGACATACATGACAGAATAGAATGCCAAACCAACGCAGAATAGCGATGGTATGAGTRACAGCAACAAGGAAATGGGATAAGAATTTGAAACACATAACTRTGGAAATCACATACATTAGCATATAAATGTACAGTTATGTAAATCTGACTTTGCATATTAATCTAATTATGGCAATTATGAAAATTGTCGCAAAGCAAACATATACTCGTCCACATATTTAAACAGCAGAAACTTTCGAAGGCTTTGTTCACATTTAAAGCAAAAAATATTGCTTTTTAACTTGCTCTCACACTTTACTACTGTCTAATGTTAGAAAAATACAAATGYAATTTCATGAAAGTGCACTCTCAACATAACCACCACCACCACCACCACCAGCTCTACTACGCCAAAGCACGGCGACATGCGTTTGCCAAAAGTAATTAACGGTTAAGTACAAACGTAAATAGAACACCAACACCACGTGCGTAAGTATGTATGCGCTTACTAAGTGTATGAATTTGCCAAAGAAATGCAATCAAAGTTAGACACTTACCCTCTTCGGCTGCCTTCTTCTCCTGCCGACGCTGCAGTACGACTTTCTTGAAGATAACGGCGGCCGCTTCAACAGCATTCTGGATCTCCTGTTCGCCCAGAGTGGTTGTGTGTTGCTGTAGTAACGGTAGAAAATTTTCAAGTTAAGAGAAGTTTGCGTTTTGAATAAGAAACAAGAAAAAATATTTACAAATTTCCCTCACAATTAAAAAAAAAGTTTTACATATAAGGAATTGATTTTGAACGTTAAATTTGTTTGGTAGCTACATAATATAGTGGAGCGATCTGGAAAATCTCTACAGATATTTTAGCGTTTTTTTTTAGACAATATTCCATTACAAAAATTGTCAAATATAAAAGATTTTCATACAAAWACCRAATTTTGATCGGCCAATTTGTATGRTGGATATATAKTATAGTGATCCGAYCTGAAGCATTCGTTCGGAACTTGTAGCGATGCTATAGACAATAAACTATATCAAATTTCAACAAGATTTCTCGACAAATGAAAAATATTTCCATACGAGTACTTGATTTTGAGCGTTAAGTTTGTATGGTAGCTATATTCTATAACGGCACGATTTGAACGATTTGTTCGGAAATTCTACCGCTGCTTTGGATAATATTCTGTGATAAATTT